GGGGAGGGTCGCTTATTGGAGAGAGGAACGACTTAATGTATTTATATGTGAAGGGGGAGGGATTATTAGAGAAAGAAGGTGTTAATAAATTTCTTTTTCTGGAAAGGTTGACATTGATTATTAGAGAGGGAGCTTTTCGAGTGGGGTTTTAATAAAGGATTTATAGTAACACACACCCGCTAGCCTCACGACGTCCCTGGCTGAATGTATATATATATATATAGTAATTTGCATGAGAAATATTTGAATATAATCTTATCAGTATTGCTTGCTTTGTAGAGGGGGGAAATACGGAAATACTTATTTTGAAATTGACAGCGTAATGCACCTAAATTGCATTTGTTATATAGTTAGTGTCAAAGTTTAATTTTTCTGTTTGCCGATTGGTCAAAACCGTTTCGACAATGAAACATTTATTGACCGGTCAACAATAGAATGGGTGCAATACGCATGCGCGTCAACCATGAAGTTCCAAAGCTCATTTTTTAAACTTTTTATTAAACATTTACGGCGTTCCATTTATCCAGTTTTGGTTTCAAATTAAGTTCACTCCGATAACCGGTGAATTATTCATACTTTGACACTTATGTACTATATAACAAAACACTCAACAACGGCAGTCTTGGGTCCACAAATCCCGCTGTTTTTCTCGGTCTCAGTAAATAAGTGATAATTAAATTCGCGTAGTTCCAATTTTCGCTCAGTCTTAATTAAATTCGCGCGATATAATTTCGCCCCCAAAATGCGATATTTTTGCGCAGATTTAACGTTGCCGACCCTTTAAGTTGTGGGTCGTAAGACGGTAGAAAAAATCACAATTCAACCTCATATCAATTAGGGTCTTATATCCGCTCCCTGGCAAGCAACGAGAGCGAATATAAGGGCCTGGGAACGACGTTGATTTAAATTGTGATTTTTCCGTGTTAAAATGACACTGGCAACTTACAATTTTCACAAACGTTCTTGTCACTAATGATCACGTCATCTGAAATCGAAAAATCCCAAGAGAAAATCAGCAGGACAGTTTCTTTTATATGTGATTGAATCCAAAAATCTAATGCCAAATATTCTAACACTGCGCGAATATAAATACAAGTAAAGTATGATATATGTTTAGTAGTTTGCAAAATAAATATTTGAATGTAATCTTGTCAATAGTGCTTGCTTTGATAAAAAAAATATAAAAGCAAAAATGTAGAAATAGTTATTTTGAACGGACAGTTTGAGCATACTGCTGTAGTTTTAATCATACAGTGACTTTTTAAGTAATTTCATTGTATCGAAATACAATAATTAAAGTTTGTAAAAACTTGAAATATATTTTGTCATTCACACTGTGTCCACTTTAATTGTGTTATCCACGTTTTTAATATAAAGAAAAACTCACATAAAAGAACCACTCTATTTTGTTGTCAGGCTGAAATTGATGGGCACTTGTAATGCAGGGTAATCAGGTCAAGTTGGTTCTTAATTTGTTCCTATATTTTCTTATCAAAAACAATATTTGCTATATATGATGCCACAATTGCTATTTAAATTCCTGCCTATCTCATAAAATATATCTTCATTGGGTATAACTAAACAACAATGTTGGGACTGACTGATAATTATTATATCTAATTGATATATGTTGACATGCATGACGCACGAAGTGGAGAGAGATTAGAGGACAATGGGTGCGAGTTGAGTTAGTACCAGAAAATGAGTGAGTACAAGGAACGAGATATTCGAGAGAGAATTGTGACTGTGGCTGTGACTGCATGTGAGCGAGTGAGAGAAAGTGTAATCGATAGACAAACAGGGAATATATACATACAGTATATTGGGAACATTACGTTAACTGGGACACAAGGGAGAACATTCTACTATTCTATTAATTGATTTATTTTTTACTGTTGGTTTAAATATAATTATCTATACTTTTAAAACATCTGTGATTATTGTGACTTGTCGGGAACTACGTTTAAGCGGAGGCGAATTCTCGACAACAATTTTTTTTTGCATTTGTCATTTAGTATTAAATTAAATTAAATATATACATATACCTCTATACCTGCAGGCTTTAGTACGAGATTTCTATTTCAACTAGAGTGCATACAAAAGTTGAGGTCTTTCTAGAACCGGTGTCATTCGTCAGCATGCAATGTATCTTCTATTTTGGATGCTTATCGTCTAAAATTCAGGTTGATGGTTCTTTTATGCTGGTTTTACGGTATATAAGTTTTGTACATACTTGGAAATTATCTGCCGTATTTCTGCATGAGAAAACAGAGTTTCGCGCGGGGTCGAAGAGCGATCGATGAGGCTGTATTTCAGGTTACGAGATCTGAGCTGTTTTATATATTTTTTCATTCAGTCATTTATTTGTGTATTTATTTATTTGTACGAATGCGACACACAAGAAACATATAATACGTTATTATTTGCATATAATCTCTAATAACAGAGACTAGAGTCCCAAAGAATGGAAATAGTTTCTTTAGCAGGCAACTTTGTAAAGTCTTTATGGAGCAGATGAGGGACTAGGCGAAAATAAAAAATAAAAAAATAAATAAATAAAAATTAAAAAAAATAATTTATTTCTAGTATTTTCTATTGTAACTATAAATTTATATTATTCCAGGGCCGCACATATCCCAAAAAAAGGTGGAAAAATTTTTTCCAGACAAATAGTAGTAAAATTACAGTTCAAAAAAAATTTTCCGGACAAATACCTGTACAATAACGGATAAAACACATTTTTTCGGACCAATGCAAGTAAAATAAAGGTCTAAAAGATTTTTCTCATACCATTGAGTAGCCGTAAGGCGGGGTTCCAATGTATTGTAAAACAACATGACAGTTTCACTTTCTTCAGAAAGCCGGAAACCTTGGTGACGTTTCTGGGAGGAATTTCAGACCAAAATCTGGGCAGACCTTTCAATGTAAATTGAACAGGCATGCGACTGCGTAACAAAACATAAGAAAAGGAAAATAATTAATGAGGAACGTAATAGCTGAGTAGCGACATATGAATATTCCTCATTAATTATTTTCCTTTTGTCTTATGTTTTATTACGCATGCCTGTTCGATCTACATTGATAGGAGATAGCTTTTCGAGGAATCGAGGAATTGTTCATTCGTGACGGAATTATTCAACATGTTAAATAATCGGTGCCGACAGCACGCGTGGCTGAATTCGCTCAAACCGCCACCGCACACTGGGGGCACGAGTGACACTCAGCTCAGCTGATAGCTCCAGTGTGCGCGGGCTGTAAGTGCAGAGTTATACTACTTTGTACAATTATCTAATTGCTCCTTAGTTTTTGTTGCATTTCAATTTTGTGCTTGCTGCGTTTCTCTAATTTGTCCTTCAGGGAGCAAATACAATGTTGCTCTCTTCCAAATTCTGAATGCATTTTAAAGTTTTCCAGGCTATACAGTAGAGCAATGATATGTTGTAAGATTAAGCGCCATTCCACAATTACATTAACATAATCTGTCAAGAAATAATGGTCTGGAAGCCCGGTACGTAAACTTCAGAGCCACAAAATAGAAAATTTTTGTTTGATATTGAACTGTGCCTCGTGACCGTGCAGAAATCCTTTGTCTCGGCTTCATTAAATATTATTTATTGTAGTTGCAAGTTTCATCATCTCAGCTATCCCTATTTGACGATTATTTAATTATACGAAACTACAATAAGCCCAATCACTAGCCTCCTCCGCAGGATCGCCTTTAGATTATCGGGCAAAATTTCTTGCAGGCAAAAAAATTAAGTACGACGAGATGCCTGTGGAGGAGGCTACCCAATCACCATGATCGTGCACAAGTAACATAAATTCAGTCAAAATCAAAACGCAACACAATGACTTTTTGTTCAGTTTCCAGCCATCATATCTTGATAGACCATGCTATTAAATTAGTATTAAGAGGCGTTGCCTGTAATGTTCAAGCAAAGTTGGAAGTCGGAACAAAATCCGCAATTTTGAAACTTTGTCAGAATAAAGTCTATCACACGCCTGATCGAACGACCTACCTTATTTTCTTGGAAAATTGAAATTTTTAATTTGAGGTATCTTTACTTTAATACCCCTTTTTTTGCCTGTGAGAACCGGAAAAAGCCAAAATTGAAAAATTGCTCAAAAACCACCAAAAACATCAACGTAAATGATATTGGTCTCGATTATTAACACTCATAACTGCTTGCAGGCATAATGTATTTGGAAGAGATTGGCGATATATCCTTGAAATAAATTGCGTTGAAATGTGACTCATTTTCTCTCATATTTGCAAGATCCGCGAGTATGCTTCATTTTACGGCTTATTTCTCGAGTAGTAAAATGATTTTGTGGCATTTGTTTATGTTCTTTAAAAGAACCAAGGGTGGTGTAGTTTTTAGCATATAAATCTCTGCGGACAACATTTTTTACATTTGCAAAAAAACGCCTGTGAAATCCCTAAAATGCAACTTTTTCTTGAGCGCTATCCCAGCTACTTGCGCGAGAAGACTGGTGATGAGTCTTAAAATTTGATTCAAACAAATGTAATGATGGGCCAAAAAATCTCTTTTTTAACATGTCATTGTTGTTATGACTATTATTGAGGTAATGTTGATATCTTTCAGATCAACACATGTACAATGTTAAAAATATAACATACCATAAAGAAGTACAATGCAGGCACGTAGTAGTAGTAGTTCGTGTTAGTTATGGATGTGCTTAATTACAAGAACACCTATTTAGGTATGCAATCATGGCACAATCTCTCCGCCTTTGTTGCTTTGGCAAACTGTAAGATGCCACGAAATCCCTCTTTTCCCGAAGAATTCGGCCTGTGTCTCTCTGTACTGGGCTGGTAAGAACTTCTTGGCAAAGTCTTGCGTGATTAGCGTGGATTCTTCACCAAGACTGTCGATAGCATCCGACCTGGCTACGTCCTGGTGGACCATGCGGAGCTGGTGGGTACAGAACTAACCATGGAACAATGGATCTGCGGAGAAAAGAGGCATGTGGTTACGTTCTATCAAGAGGCGGTATGAAATACTCGGAAACATACCTTGTAATCACTTTTGATGTACTGATTGAGATGTTTAAGGCTGTCCTTTAGCTTGTGTATTTCAGGATCGTTAGCACTATACTGCATCAATGTATCCATGAGGGAAATCAGGTCATCAAACCCACGCCCGCCTCCGCTGCATAGCTATCTAAGCCCTGTAAGCTCTTTCTCACTGAGGCCAAGCAAGCCTCAGACAAGATACGAAAGAGGGTGCGGGTAGAAAGTGGAATGAAGGCTTCTTCGCTGCAGTACTGGTTGTATTGTCTGATGAGATGGGAAGGCAGCATCGTTCGTATGACATTAGGGATATCGATCTTCTCACCACTGCTTAACGTAAGAGTTCTCCTACCAAAGGGAAGATCTTGTACTATATTGGAGGACGTTATGAAGTCAAGGAAGTGTTCTAGCTTTGTAGGATCCACCCTTTCTCTTCTTTGTTTCACGGGAGGTGCTGAAACAGGGAGTCCTGCCCCAACGTCAAGACAGTGCATACCGTCTTGCAGCAGTGAACTCGTATCTTGTTAGCTTAGGAATGTGTGTAGTAAGCTCTGCATGAATACGTTACTTTATTGGCACAAATGCTGAGAAGTTGTCGCCTTGTCTCTGCCTTTTCCGCTAGCTTATACGATTCTACTATTGCTTGCACCAGGCCTTTGTCAGGTCTTGGCATTTGAAGGAACTGGCTTACTTTGCCCTTTGTCCTTACTGATTCCCACAATTGCGGAACGGAATCTGGAGCTACCCTCTTAATGACGCTTGCGATTATTTCGTGATCTTGTCTTTTTGTAGTGGCACATTTCCAAGCACGCTCCATAATGGATCCCAGAGGCCCAATACCACTCAGGTCCATGAATCGCTCCAATGCTGTTTTTTACCGTCATCAGCTGGTTTATCTGGTGGATGAGAACCACTTCCACACGTTGCCTGACTGCTGGTGTCATCTGAAGTATCTTCCTGGGACGAGGTAGGCTGGTATAGTGAACACTCAGGGTTAATGGCTAGCTTCTCCAGATCTTCAACGAGCGTTGCAATAGTCTCGTCGTTCATTTTTCCCTCGTCAGTGAACTCTGTGGCTGGAGGTTCTCCATCTGATGCCTATAATGAATTAAAAGGATAAATCTTTAGCGATGTCTGCATATTCGCACGTATACAACTGTAAATTGCGGCCATCAGGAATTGTCCCACAATTATTGCCACAATACCCACTCTATTGTTTTATAATCTCTATATGGAAAACTGCCATATAGTCAGTATCTCAGCCCTGGGTTAAGCCTTGCTAAAAACACCGCTTGGTTTAGTTTGGCTTATAAGCCTGTTTGTCCCTTGTTTGTTGTACTTCCTTGTATTAATATTTACCCTGTGGCTACACGCATGTAGTGTTTACCTCTTTTCGCTGTTCACCCTGCAGGATTGTGGCGTTTGGGCTCAACTTTTCGCGGCATTGTCGACAGATTCCTAGAAGAGCAACGTGTAAATATATGAAAAGTGGAAACAACATTGTAGGTGATTTAAAGGTTAACAGTATAAGTCAAATTTCGTCCTTGATAATTCTTTGGATCATGCTTAACCTCAATAATTGCTAATTATGCATGAACTAGTATTGTTGCGGGTTATGGCGCGACATGTCTTGTGGAAGCGAATAGTATTCTTTGGACTTGATTGACATGTTTACGATGTTTATGATTGACATGTTTTCACCAAGTGAAAAGAAAACAAAGATGATTGATATGCATGACTCTTGTGTTTCCCGTCCCCTTCCAACACACCCAAGTATTATTCTGCAACCCAAAACCACGGCCGGATACGCAAAGTATACGTATACCTGAACCGATAGGTATTACCAATGCAGTTAGCAACCTCGTTCCCAGGGCTTTTCCCTTTTTGTCATTGGGAAGGCGAGAAAAGGCCCTGGCACCGGCCGGTCTTCTATGTATTCTGATTGGTCAATGACAAGTACATTATTATGCAAATAATACAATCTTGGATTAATTTATTCAAACTTTGGGATAAATTAATATTTTCACGCAAGGAGTGTCCATTATTAATACTTTGCCCGTCTAAGAAATACAGCAATTTTCGTCCAAGCACAAACCGCAAACATTTTCGCGCGTTTGTTTACGTTTGAAACGTGGCGTTTACCGTTGGAAACGGAATGTTTCACTGCTCATGTGACGTGTTATAGTGAAAAGCCTAATTCAGTTATTTTTCATGTTTTGATGTGCTTTCGTGTACTTTTCAGTATTTCCAAGCTCACGATATTGTAAGAGCGACCAAACTTGTTTATATTCATAGTTTTTGTGACTAAAACGTATTATCATGGGCTTGGAAATATTGAAACGTGCACGGAAGCACGTCAAAACATGACAGTTGCGCCAAAAATAGCTTAAGGCTTTTCAATGTGACACGTCACATGAGCGGTGAAACATTTCAGTTTCCAACGGTAAACGCCCCGTTTCAAACGTAAACAAACGCGCGAAAATGTTTGCGGTTTGTGCTTGGACGAAAATTGCTGTATTTTTGGCAAAATGGTTAAATTCGATAAGATTTATACACAATTTTTCGAAGGTTAGTATTATTGTTTGTTTTAAACTGTTAGAGAAGATTAATTGTGTACTAGAACACACCTCTGAGGCTCTGACCGAGTATTTAGGGCAAAATGTGCCTTCATAATTGGCTTCGTATTGCGTTAACGTTTATATTTACAGTTATTAAACACTAAAGTCTGGGTTTATAAACTGAAACATGACCTTTAATTTTTGATATTCTTCATAGTCGAGTTTAAATTGGCCAAATTTATAGTTAGTTACCACTAGAAATGCGACGATATTTTGTTATATCATATATGCAACAGTGTTTACAACTTTTGAATAATATGTGATTTGGTTTTGTTTCAGATACTATTACATGTTGCTTCATTTTACCATAAATTGTGTTAAAAAAGTGATTTGCTCATTTGGCTGATGTTACAGTTTTCTGATGTGTTTTGTTTGGATGATATTAGAACAATTTCAATATGAAAGTGCAGGTGTCTTTAGACATGAGCCATGTATGACATGTATCAAAATACTGATAAAATCCGTTTCCAGCTTGATTGTATTTGCATTGTTGCAGACAAAGTTGTGCAATGGTGGGCTTATGTCACATACTCGTATGTAATTCCATGTGCATGCTTGTACTTTGATGCCTCAAGAGATGCTTCGAATGTGTAATAAAGGGCTGTTCGCAGGAGTTGGGCTGTCTGGTCTTAAATTGCATTGTTTTTATGATATTTTAAGATTGTATTCATATGGCTGGACCATCTTGCCATTGTCTGTCTGATGTTCAAACAGGCTTTAAAGTCAGGTTACAATGCATGCTTGAAAATATGCAACAATTTCACTGCTAATAATATTCCAGAAAATCCTGCCTCTTGGGCAGATCTGGACTGATTTGTCAGAGGGGCTTGGAGTTTTTCTACTTGTGATCGGGCAAGGGGAGGTAGCCAAGGGTGATGGGTCAGAGTCAAACTCATGCGAACAGCTCCTAATTATATTGATAAATTATGCACACTTTGGGATGGTAATGCAATTTGTAAAATATTCCACATTTTATTTAATAAAATTTAATTATATACATTGTTTTTGTTGTTTATATTAATACCTTGGACAGTGTGTATTTACACCTTTGGACCCTGTAAATAAACACCTTTGGAGGGTGTACCATTCTAAGCCAAAGACGTTTAAGAACAATTATCAAGGTATTTGCATGATAAAATATATTTAAAACTGCTCTCCATATACATGTAATGCATGGTTCAATTCTTGCATTTACCAAGTAAACCCAGGGATTTTCAATGTCCCCCTCCTCCCATAGAATTCACTTGAAGTGACTGGGGCAAGGTAGCTATAAGTATAAATAGGTATATAAAAATCAATTAAAATTTACAAATAGAGCTTTTTGAATATAGACCATTGCAAATTTTTTTTAAATTTGTTTAACCCTTTATAGTGGCAATGTGCCCTACTTTAGTATATTACTCCTCTGGTGCCAGACAATTTTACTCAAGGGCAGAATGTATACTTGCCACAAGTCAGCCTCGAACGAAACGTCGGCTCACACTCGCTGCTTGCGTTTCGTTCGAGGTCGACTTGTGGCAAGTCTAGGCAGAATGCTGCCACTTAATGAGTTAATATATTCTCAGAACAATTACCATCAAATTTAATCTATTTTGCTGGCAAAATTGCCTTGGAGGGGGTCCTTGATTTGTTGAGTCTTTTTTTTGGGGGGGGGAGGGGTGAGTGTTGTAAAAAACAGAATAGCAACTGGTTTCAGAATAGGAAGAATTGTTGTAATATAGGTAATATAATTCTAAGACAAATCATCCAAAGGAAGCAATCATTCTAGCTCTTATAGTGTATGTTGCAACAGGGATGGATTTAATGGTGGGGGGGGGGGTGCACCCCCTAGCCCTGGCCAGAGCGGGTGCTATATATTTTTCATGATAAAACAAAAAATTATTACAGGCAAAATGAGATACAGTAATTTGAGTAATAACATGATAAGCAAGCTGTGAACAACAATTAGAATTCAAATACAGTAGTAAAGCAAGACTTTGCAGTAGTGAAGCAAGTTGATTGGCGGGCGGCACACATGACCAACACAACTCGGCACCAGAGCTGGCAGAGCACCCCCCCCCCCGCCTACCAGATCATGCTCGATCCATCCCTGTGTTGCACAATGTATTTTCTTCATATTCAGGCATTCACATGAATGAAGATTAGGGACCGGTCATTATTTATGGCGGGGGGTGGCACCGAAGAGAAATGTTTTTACTAGGTTACCCCCCCCATCCACTGTCGGAAGTAATTAGTATTCAAGCGAATGACGTCAACAGGGGGTGTACGTCCGGGCGTTCGTACTTAGCGTACGTACTTAGCGTACTTAGCGTGCGTCCAAGCGTACGTCCAAGCGTTCGTACTTAGTGTACGTCCGAGCGTTCGTACTTTAATAGTGCTGAAATTTAATGTGTAAATGTGTGTATATTATGCCCTTACGATACTTATGCGAGCTTCGAATAATAATGAGGTATAATTCCCGAGAAAATAGAGGACAGCAGTTTGTTTTATTCAAGTTCACATAGTATTACGACAATTTAAATGTTTCTTCCAAAAAGAAAGCCAACTCAACTTATTTATTCTTATAATCAACTTTCTACTAGCATGAGTACAATGATTAATCATCAGAAAGTTTATTCTTCAAATATTCCGCATATGTTTTACGATGACTCTCCTTGCACGAACAATTTTGTACGTACAGGACCCGTGCGTACGCTTTATTGCACGAATAATTAGTACTTAGGACACTGTGCGTGAGACACTTTTATGTGTAAACGTTGAATATATTGTGTATAACGTTATACATTGTTTATTGATGTAAGGTTGTTCGTTTAAGAAATAAATTGTTTAAAGCTTGTATTAATTGATGCATGTAGTCAACCAATGCAGTATCTTTGGCAATAATATTTTGCTCTTAAAATCAGTAGGAAAACGTGTTGCCCCCATTATCTCTCTCTTTTGAACACGCAGCGAAACATTTTAAAAACTTTGGGAAAGATCATAAAGCCACTCTTGATTTCTTGAGACGGACTTCAAGCTCTTGGCGGTAAATAAATTTGTTTCAAATTTCCTGTCTGTTTATGCCCCCGCGCAGTGTGGCGTCGCACGGAAAGGTCGTACGAATTTAAGGTCGTACGCGGACGAACATGATGTGCGCTTGATTCAGCTCACTTTACACTACGTTTTCGGGGACCGCTGTACACTAGGTTTATCGTCAATAAACAGACGATGTCGTGACCAGTGCAAACGAAGTCCTCGCTGAGAGTCAGTACCGGTGTAAAGTGTGCAAAAATCAGGTATAGTGTATTCTTTGCCGAAAATGATTTTTCCCCATTCGATAAAGTTCTATTTTAGCTTACTTCTCTGTGAAATACACGAGATTTGATTGATTTTTTCTCTTCTATTTGAGATATTTAATTACTAATTAGCGAGTTGAACTGAGCCATGGTATTTATTATATGCAAATGTTTTAAGGGAAACATCCCATCCACACGCAACACATGCACGCACATTTTGGCAGCCGTTGGCAATACTAAGGTTACAAACCCTTTAAGGGTGATATCGTCACATTTAGCTTACTTCTCTGTGAACTATATGAGATTTGATTAATTTTTTATAGCTATTTGAGATAGTAAATTAGCGAGTTGAGATGAGCCATTAATCATTATATTATATGCAAATGTTTTAAGTTAAACATCCCATGCACAACCCACATATTTTTGTGTGTAGTGCACATTTTGCTGAAAATGATACTCCCATTCGATAAACACACATTTATCGTTTTTCATTGCTTAAGTTCTAATTGAGCTTGCTTCTTTGTGAAATACACGGAATTTGATTAATTTTTTACAGCTATTTGAGATATTGAACTAGCGAGCTGAGATGAGCCATTATAGTTGTTATA